TGTCCTCCCCCTACCACCCACTAAACAAGTGGGAAAGCCAAGGCTTCCCGAAGTGCAGTGACCCCCGCCCCGGGGACCCAGCTTCCTGCTCCAGCTCCCTCGGGGAGGCGGTCCCGGGGCAGGGCTCACACCCAGTCCTGACCTGGTCTGGGGGCACAGAGTGGTGGGGCGACAAACTGCAAGCCAGAGGCAGCTCCAAGACCTGGGACGCCCTGCCACCCAGCAAGCGGAAGAAGGCGCCCCTCGTCTCTGGTATCCTTCCGCCACGGCGCCTGCGCTGGGCAGGACGGCGGGGTGCTGGGCAGGACAGCGGGGCGCTGGACAGGACGGCGGGGCGCTGGGCAGGACGGCGGGGCGCTGGGCAGGACGGCAGGGCTGGCCCCAGGCCGGGGCGGTGGTGGGGGCTCGGCAGGCAGAGTCACACCAGACCTGTTTGCCAGCTCCCTGCCTGCCCAGGACTCCCCCGGCCTTCCTGAGTGAGGTGCCCTCAGAGGCCCCCAAGATACCGCTCCCTCCCAGCCTCTGCTCCACCCCCTCCGCCTGCGGTGCCCTAAGGGTGCCCTAAGTCCTCATCGCAGATGTTGCCTCCGCCACGCAGCCTCTCCTGGTCTCCGGTGGCTGGGGTTTCGTGCCTCACCAGGCGAGCTGCGGACCCCTGTCCCTCCCCCAGTCCTAACCCCAGGCAGGTCCACAGGGGAGGTGAGGGCAGCGCACTGATGGTCCCGGGGGCGGGGGCCTGAGACCAAAGGAAGGCTTCCGGGCTGAGAGCCCCAAGGGGGTACGAGGGCAGCAGCCCCGGGTGTCTGAGCTGTGGGCCCACCACTGCGGGGAGCCACGACCAGCTAGGACGGGCTTCTGCTCAGAGACAGGCTGGGGCCTAGAGGAAGGGGGAGGGCAGGAGCTGTCGCCCGGCCTGAGCTGCCCCCCCCATGCCCATTGCACCACCTCTCCGAATCCTGGGGTGCCCCTGCCTGCCCCTCCACCCGGCTTCCTGCTTCCTTGACCCGGTCATAGGCCCCTACATCGTGTACATGCTGCAGGAGATTGACATCCTGGAGGACTGGACGGCCATCAAAAAGGTGGGCCCTGCCGTCCGCCGCCCCACCCTCCCCGGAGGTGGGCTGGCAGTGCAGCTCCCTACCCCCAACAGCCTGTGCTGGCTTCCTGAGGGCCTCGGGTGCTCTTTTCAGCCCTGGCCCCCCTGCCCGCACCCGCCCCAGAAGAGGTTTCTAGTCAGTGTCAGCCCTCTTGTTCTAGGGCAGGTTTTTTGGGATGGGAGGGGGCTGCTGGGAAGTAGCTGGGCCAGGACACCAGCGCTTCACCTATCAGTCTTATGCCGCCCCACCCCCACCCCAGAGAGGCTGGTGTCAGGAGGCACCTCGCCAGGCCAGGCCGGACATGGCTCTCAGGCGCTTTCTTCTCACCCACCAGGCCAGGGCCGCTGTGTCCCCTCAGAAGAGAAAGTCAGATGGTAAGAACCGTGGGGGCACTCAACTGCCCCTGCCCGCCCAGCCTCCAGGGGGCGCCCAGAGAGGCCATGGGGGCGGGGTGGTGGGGGGAAAGACTGGGGAGTGGGAAGCAGCTCTTGGTTGATGGGGCCAGGGGCCCCCGGGAGCCTGGGCAGGGAGGGCAGGGGTGCCGAGCCCCAGGCCAGTGCCTGCACGGAGGCCGAGGCAAGGCCTGCTCCCGTCGGCCCCCAAATGCCTCCTCCTGGCTCAGCTGCTGCTTCCCACAATGGCTTTTTTCTTCCCACGCGGCCCCAGGACCTTGACGCTGCTGTTCACAGCCGAGGGACCCCCAGAGCAGCTGGCACCCAGCCCAGAGCTCGCATTTTCCCGCTGCGGGGAGGCTGGCGGGGATCAGCCCCGTGGGCACGGGCTCCCTGAGTTCTGCTCCAGCCAGCACTGACCTGGACTCCTCTGCTCCTCCTCTGGGGCCTGGGCACGGGGGCCCTGGACAGGAAGGACTGTCTCCGCCACGCCCATGGTCCCCTCCCTGTGTGCACATGCATTTCTGGATTCAAAGCCGCGTCCTCCCCGCTCACCTCACGCTGGCTCCCGGTCCCTGAGCCAGCGAGCTGTGCGGGGCTTTGGGCCAGAAATGACGGGGGCTTGGCTCTCGCCGGTCACGAGAAGCCAGGCTGCCCAGGTCTTCTCAGGGCGGTTTCGGTGTCTGCCTCCCAGCTTTCGGGGACTGGAATTAAAGCCTTTTCTGGGCCTCTGTGTGACGCTCGTGTGTGATTTGTGTCTCAAGGGGATCGGGGCGCCCACTGGGAGCACTGAGACAAATTGTCTCTGCTGGGGTCTCTGCCGTATGACACCCCTTCCCAGCACCCTTGGGGCACAGGCTGGGGGAGGGGGTTCTCTCATACTCCCCAGGAGTGGGGCGCTGCCTGGTGCTGGTGAGCAGAACCTGAAGCTACCTGTGGCGGGCAGAGCACGTGGCCCGGGTGGGGAGGGGGCTGGGCGCAGGGAGCGCGGTCAGGTCTGCACCTGCCCAGTGGCTGGCGGACTGGCAAGGCAGGCTGGGAGGGCCTGTGCGTGGGAGGCAGCCGGCAGCAGCGCCATGTGCTGACGACCTCACAGCCAGACTCCCCCTGTTTCGAGTGTTAGAACCACCCCCAGAACCTCAGTTAAGCAAAGGGGTTCGTTTCCATGGAGATACCGCATCCTTTCTCCATGACAACCTGAAACCCAAAACCCAGTGAGGCTTAGGAATGAGTCACCCGTGGCCAACAGGGGGCGCTCGCCCACAAGGCTGACCCCAAGCGCTGGACAGATGAGCGCTTGACCACAGACTCAAAAGGTGCTTCAAGGCTGCCGGACTGAGCAGAGCCGAGCTTTGGGCCGGTCCCAGCCATCCTGTGCGGTGCGGGGAGGCGGGCGGAGGCGGCAGCCCCACAGCTGGGGCGCTCTGAGCGGCGCCAGCAGGAAGGGGTCCCTGCCCCCCCAGGCTGGGCCCCAACAGAGGGAGTGGCACTGCCCGGGGTTAGTGGCCGCCCAAGAGTTAACTGGCGGGTGTGACCGCGCGCACCGCCCTCAGGAAGTGTTACTCACCGCTGGGAGTGAGAGCGCTCCTGCCTGGGGGCTGGATTCTCTTCCTGCGTCCCGGGAGAACGCGAAGGAGCTCCCAGCCATGGAAAGCCCCGGGCAGCCGGGGGTAGGCCCTCTCGGAGCCCCCAGCCCGTCCGGCGTCGCTCCTGGGCACCTGGACAGAGGAAAGTTAGTGAAGTTAGGCGGCCGCCCGGTGCGGGGAGGGACGCGGGGCGGGGGCTGCCGGGGCGGGG